TGGCATCATGTTGCTACTGCAAAAAAATCTATTATTATATATGATTCTCATGAAGGTAGTCGTAATGCAAATATACATAATTTGAATGGAGAAATTCGAATTTTTGTGGACAGATTATTTCCCTTTCATGATTGTCAAAACAATCTAATAGTTTTTCCTAAAGTTCAGTCGCAAGGTGACGGTTATAATTGTGGTCCTATGGCAATTGCGATTGTTACATCTATTCTGTTTGGCGTAAATCCTTGCATCGTGACGTATAATCAATCGTTGCTAAGACCTCATTTGTCCGCAATGTTTGAAAAACAAACAATAACTCATTTTCCGTACCTCTATGATTCAATTGCTCCATTAACGCTACTGCCGTTGGAGACATTGAAAAGACGAGAGAGGGATGCACTGAGAAAAAGACTTGCACGTAGTAAGGAAACTGAGGAACAGCGTTCGAAACGAATCGAAAAAGATGCTTTTTCTCACAAAGAAAAATATTTTATGAATCCTGCAACAAAACGTCAGATAATGCGTGATCAGTACCATAAGGATCCTGAAACAAAACGTCAGATAATGCGTGATCAGTACCATAAGGATCCTGAAACAAAACGTCAGATAATGCATGATCAGTACCATAAGGATCCTGAAACAAAACGTCAGATGGTGCGTGATCAGTACCATAAGGATCCTGAAACAAAACGTCAGATGGTGCGTGATCAGTACCATAAGGATCCTGAAACAAAACGTCAGATGATGCGTGATCAGTACCATAAGGATTCTGAAACAAAACGTCAGATGGTGCGTGATCAGTACCATAAGGATCCTGAAACAAAACTTCAGATGGTGCGTGATCAGTACCAAAAGGATCCTGAAACAAAGCGTCAAAAAATGCGTGATATAACGTTCGCAACGCTCGTACCCAGACGAAAACACACAATGCGATGCCTCTCACTCGCACCCGCATGCTCTCCGGTCCGATGAGCTGGTCGCCGCTCATAATTTTTGGATTCGACGGATTCAACTCAATCTATTTGCTGACGACATAGCTCGCCTAAAACAACTACGTTGCGTCTCAAAAACTAGTCCATTAGCTTCGCTTTCTCCTTACATAGACAGAGACAGCTTGTTACGCGTTCGAGGCCGATTAAAGCACGCAAGCCTGTCAGATGACGCTAAACATCCGCTAATTTTAAAATCACATCCATTGGTCCACCTCCTTATCAAACAGATTCATGTTGCGGCCCTACACGCCGGTCCGCAACTCACACTCACGCTCCTGCGACAACAGTATTGGCTAATTCGCGCTCGCGCCACTGTGCGTACCGTCCTCTACCAATGTATTGTGTGCACACGGGAGAATGCACGCGTGCCCGAACAGCTTATGGGCGACCTGCCGGATTTCCGCGTGAACCCGACTTCACGCGCCTTTAATCATACCGGCGTCGATTACGCGGGTCCGTTACTAGTGCATTAACGTACGACTAAAGGTCGTGGTCATAAAGCCCAAAAAGCTTACCTCGCAATTTTTGTATGCATGACCACGAAAGCACTGCACCTAGACGCAGTATCGGATTATACTACCGCGTCGTTCCTTGCCGCGTATCATCGTTTTACCGCACGTCGTGGCATTCCGCATGCAATGTACTCCGATCACGGTACCACGTTTCAAGGTGCCGATCAAGAGCTTACGGCCTCCTTCCATGCAGCCACGCGTGATCCAGCATTTCAAAATTACATAGCTCAAGAAAATACTGCATGGCATTTCATACCTCCCGCTGCGCCGCAATTCGGAGGCCTATGGGAGGCTGCCGTACGCTCTGTGAAACATCACATTAAACGCGCTATTGGAACGCACACCTTAACGTTCGAAGAGATAACCACATTACTATGCCGTATCGAACTTTTCTTAAATTCTCGTCCCATCGCTTCCGTGTCCGACGCTTTAGACGATTATACCGCTCTGACTCCGGGTCATTTTTTGATCGGCGATCCTTAAGCTCGATCCCGGAGCCGAGCTTACTCGAACTCGCCGAAAATCGTTTATCTCGCTGGCAACTAGTGCAGCAATTAAGCGAACGCGTCTGGAAGGCATGGAAAGATACGTATTTGAATACCTTACAACAACGCCCTAAATGGCGTTCTGTACAAACTCTAGCCACACCCGGTAGATTAGTCTTACTTCGCGATCCACTTGCCCCTCCAAGTCGATGGAAGCTTGGGCGTATAGTTAAATGCCATCCAGGCAGCGATCGGCTCGTTCGAGTCGTTACTGTTAAAACGGCTGAATCCGAGTTCAAGCGCCCCATTACAAAACTTTGTTTTCTTCCGGTCGACATCAACAATGATAGCGAACATCATTCCGCCATGGTGGGCGGCATTGGATTGTAACTGTCCGATTGAATATTGTAAATTTACGTTAAATTTCATTGACCGCAAATATTGTATTCATATCGAATGTCAATCACATTCGAGGCGGACGGTATGTTGACGCATATCATAAATTTGTATAATCAATAGACTCTTATATTAATCGCTTGTATATCAACGGAAAGGTTCGATCGTTCGAACCGACACACGACAACATTATCGACCTTGTTCACCATCCCATGTGATAAGAGTCACGCTGTCACGTGTACATTTTATTTATTCCTATTCTTTCGTCGCTCCGATTCGCCGAAACAAACATCCGATCCCGAGAAAGAGGGGATTCCGTGACGAAAACTCGGAACGCTCCCGAAAACCGAGAATCAGATCTCTGCGAACCGTGCTATCGATCAGCTGCAAATACAAGTAAACATATGTTCGTTGCTGTAATCACTTTCCTCTCGGAGCGAGCCTTTACGAGGCTGTACAAGCCACCAGTCGATCAACAATAATTTGAATTAGAGCGACGCCGTCGCGCCTACTGATATCGATAACAGAAACTATAGATAATTACCAGTTCATATCTACAAAATATTACGATTTTAACCGAATTGAATAAGAAATATAAAAATATTTGATTAAAATACAGTAATTAATTATGAATGTAATAAGTTCATACTTCCACAAAATATTGGCAAATCTTCTGGGCTTTATGACCACGACCTTTAGTCGTACGCACTAGTAACGGACCCGCGTAATCGACGCCGGTATGATTAAAGGCGCGTGAAGTCGGGTTCACGCGGAAATCCGGCAGGTCGCCCATAAGCTGTTCGGGCACGCGTGCATTCTCCCGTGTGCACACAATACATTGGTAGAGGACGGTACGCACAGTGGCGCGAGCGCGAATTAGCCAATACTGTTGTCGCAGGAGCGTGAGTGTGAGTTGCGGACCGGCGTGTAGGGCCGCAACATGAATCTGTTTAATAAGGAGGTGGACCAATGGATGTGATTTTAAAATTAGCGGATGTTTAGCGTCATCTGACAGGCTTGCGTGCTTTAATCGGCCTCGAACGCGTAACAAGCTGTCTCTGTCTATGTAAGGAGAAAGCGAAGCAAATGGACTAGTTTTTGAGACGCAACGTAGTTGTTTTAGGCGAGCTATGTCGTCAGCAAATAGATTGAGTTGAATCCGTCGAATCCAAAAATTATGAGCGGCGACCAGCTCATCGGACCGGAGAGCATGCGGGTGCGAGTGAGAGGCATCGCATTGTGTTTTCGTCTGGGTACGAGCGTTGCGAACGAAACGAAGGATATACGCGGTGACGCGCAGTAATTTCGGCCACGAGGAAAATCGGGATTCAAGCTCCCAATGGTTTACCGAGCATGTCGCGCAAGCTTTTGAATCGCGTAATTCACTATGCGTTGCCGGGATGTCGGATATGACTGGCCATTGATTGAACGAATGTGATAACCATGGTGGGCCGTGCCACCAAAGTTGGTGATTAATAAGAGAGGCAGGGTCGGTACCGCGAGATGCGCAATCTGCGGGGTTGTCGTGCGTGGGCACGTGATTCCATTTTCCATTGGGAAGAAGCTGTTGCATTTTTGAGACTCTATTCGCGACAAACGTCTTCCACCGCGAGGGACTTTGACGTATCCAAGCGAGGACGACCATGGAAACGCTCCAACACCAATAATCGATATCGGGAAGGTGAAGAGCAGAACGAGCGAAATCTATGAGTTGTGCTAGTAGGAGCGCAGCGCAAAGCTCCAAACGCGGGACGCTAATGGTTTTGAGCGGCGCGACTTTAGACTTAGCGAGGATCAGAGTATTGGTAATGCAACCGTCGCCCGAAATGACACGGAGGTAAAGCGCTGCCGCATACGCTCGCGTGGAGGCGTCTGCGAATCCGTGTAATTCAATTCTGTTGTTCGGATGATACTGCGTCCAGCGCGGAATAGTTAACTGCTCAAGGAGAGGCAACGTCAATTGAAATGTTTCCCATTCGCGCAACATCTCGGCGGGAAGCTCGTCATCCCAATCAGACTTCGTCAACCAGAGATGCTGCAGGAAAATTTTCGCGGTTACGATAACGGGAGCTACCCACCCGAGTGGGTCGAAGAGTTGCGCGATGACTGATAATATTCCGCGCTTAGTTTTCGCGACTGTTATTAAATTCGAAACTTGAAAGGTGAAGATATCGTGTTCCGGTTTCCAGGTAACTCCGAGAATTTTAATGGAATCGTGATCGTGCAAATCTTTGTTGGTTGCGAGTCCATGGTCGGAAGGATCGAGATCTTCAAGGAGCGTAGGGCAATTGCTCGCCCACTTACGCAAACGAAAACAGCCTTGAGATAGCAACGAAATTAACTGATCTCGTGTTTGTTTGGCAGTTTCAAGGTCGTCGGCGCCGAAAGTACAGTCGTCGACGTACGTTTGCTGTAATAGAACCGGTACCGCGAGCGGAAACTGTGAGCCTTCGTCCTCGGCTAATTGCCGTAAGACTCGCAAGGCCAAGAATGGGGCAGCGGCGGTGCCGTAAGTGACGGTAAGAAGTCGGTATTCGTCGACCTGAGCCGTCGGAGACGATCGCCATAAGAGGCATTGATACTTCGTATCGAGAGGGTGTACTAAAATCTGCCTATACATTTTGGCGATGTCCGCTGATAGTGCAAATCGAGGTTGTCGCCATTGGAGGACGACCGCTACTAGATCGGTTTGCAATTTTGCTCCTACATGAAGAGCGCTATTTAATGATTTGCCGGTGGCGGTGTTGCACGACGCGTTAAACACAACACGAAGTCGGGTTGTATTGCTATGTTCACGGATCACGGCACGGTGTGGAATGTAGTACGCGGGAGCTTGGGCGGGAAATTCGGTAGGATTTATCTTAGTCATATGACCTAGGTTTGCGTACTCGGTAAGGAATGCGGTGTATTCCGTTGCTAACGATGGGTCGGTTCGAAAACGACGTTCGAGCCGTTCGAGACTCTTCAACGCGGCGAATCGAGAGTCTCCAAGGTCGCGAGGCGGGCCATTTCTAAAGGGAAAACGCACGACGTAGCGTCCTTCCATGGTGCGGTAGTGAGTCGTCACAAAATGCTCCTCACATTGGGTGTCTTCCGGACTCGGATGAACGCGGGCTGGGATATCTTCGAGTTCCCAGAACTGTTTTAAGGTATGCTCAAGATTAGGTGAAATGTTAGTATGATATGCGGGTACGGAATTGCGGGGGCAGGTTTCGACGGTAGGACCCGAGAGAATCCAGCCGAACGCGGTATTCTGCGCGAACGGTTCGTGTGGTGTTCCCTTGTGTGAACCGTCGCGATAAATATTTCCATACATATCGGCTCCAATTATTATATCGATTGGCGTAGGACTCAGGAAATCAGGATCGGCTAATTCGAGGGCGTCGAGGTGCGTCCACTTAGTGTGAGACGCAACGGGAGGTGGCACGTATTCCGCGAGCGAACACAATATTAAAGCCGTCGTCGAATACGCGGGATTGTTACTTTTTACGGGACTAATTTTGATATTTGCTGCGTAGCGTGCGGAAGTTTTTGTTTGACCAACGCCAGTAACGCTTAAATTTTGCTTTACTCGAGGAAGACGGAGTAATTGCGCAAGATTCTCCGTAATGAGTGTCACAGCCGATCCTGGATCGATAAGCGCGCGAGCGGGAATGAAGCGACCGTGCGCGGAATGTACGCGGACGCGCGCTGTAGCGAGCAGAACGGCGGGAATAGCTGGCATTGAACGTGTTAGGGTAAGAGCGACAACGTTTTTGTCTTGGTCTTTTTTCGTCTCTTCTTTTGAATGTGACGATTCAGCATACAGTAACTTTGCGTGGTTTCCAAGGTGAAGGAGAGTGTGATGCTTTTGCTTACATTCTCGACAACGATGCTTGTTGGTGCAATCCTTTAACGCATGGTTTGCCGCGAAACAATTATAACAACGGCGGTTCGATTTAATAAATTCGAAACGGCGCTCCGGCGTATAAGCGGCAAATTGTGTACATTGAAATAAACGATGATGGCCCTTACAGACCGGGCATTCGAACTTCACGGCCGTTGTATGTGATGCTACGGATTTGGCCGATTTAATTTTTGACGAGGTAGTCTCGGCTGACTCGATGTTTTTCGTCGGGGCGATAACTTCGAACGCGCGAATGCGAGACTCTAAAAATTTGTCGAGTTGAGAATAGGACGGTAAATTTTGCGATTCGCTCATTTTTAATTCCCACGCTTTTCTCGAAGCTTTGTCGAGTTTTTGCGAAACGAGGAACACGAGAACATCGTCCCACGTATCGACGGGACGTTTTAGATTTTTCAGCGCTTGTACGGTGGTATTGGTGGTGTCACGCAGAGTCTGCAACTCTTTCGCGGTTTCATGCGTTGCCGACGGTAACGAGAATAAAATTTAAAGATGGGAGTTGACGATTCGACGTTGATTTTCAAAGCGCGACGATAAGATTTGCCACGCGACTTCGAAATTCGCATCGGTGACTGCTAAGTGACTCAGCGAAGTGCTGGCCGTTCCGGTAACGATTGAACATAAGTAATGCAGGCGTTCTACATTTGTTAAAATCGGATCGTCAATTACCATTGCTTTAAATCTATCGCGGAACGTTTCCCATCGCTCGAAAGAGCCGTCAAATTTCGGTAATTCGATTCGCGGTAAACGCGAGACCGGGCGCGGACCATGATGATAATCGGTACTTGCGTTCGAAGCGTCCATGATGTTGATGTGCGGGGCGGCAATGGGAGGTATGGCAAATTCGGCCAGGTAGTCAAGGGCAGCATCCATCTGGACCTCGGCTTGTTGATACAGCTCCTCGGTGAAGTATCGATGCGTGGTCTTCGTAGCGGCCTCGGCGAGGACTAACAGCTTGGCGTTGTTGACGCGAATCTCCCGGAACTGTTCCTTGACGCGTTCCATCCGGTTTGCAGCCACGGTGGACGTCATCTTGGCGTGGCCGAGTTTTTTGAAATTAGATACGGCATTTGCAACCGATCTAACAAGGTCGAGCTGTTGCTCCAAAAGCTTTGCGGTGGTAGCCATTATTGGAATGGCGGCTGCTGCGTTAAACAACGTAGGTCGTGATCAAAGTCAGCCAAAATGTAATTGGATGATGTACTTCACGACTTGTCGTCTTCTCTCGTTAGCGATCCGGCTCGAAGGACCAAAAAATGTTGTCGATATCAGTAGGCGCGACGGCGTCGCTCTAATTCAAATTATTGTTGATCGACTGGTGGCTTGTACAGCCTCGTGAAGGCTCGCTCCGAGAGGAAAGTGATTACAGCAACGAACATATGTTTACTTGTATTTGCAGCTGATCGATAGCACGGTTCGCAGAGATCTGATTCTCGGTTTTCGGGAGCGTTCCGAGTTTTCGTCACGGAATCCTCTCTTTCTCGGGATCGGATGTTTGTTTCGGCGAATCGGAGCGACGAAAGAATAGGAGTAAATAAAATGTACACGTGACAGCGTGACTCTTATCACATGGGATGGTGAACAAGGTCGATAATGTTGTCGTGTGTCGGTTCGAACGATCAAACCTTTCCGTTGATATACGAGCGATTAATATAAGAGTCTATTGATTATACAAATTTATGACATGCGTCAACAGTTTCTGTATTCGAAAGTCCGGAGGAGATTAAAAAAGAAACATTTTTCAATATTTCTATGTATGTAGATGTGGTTGACTATGCATTGCCATATCTGTAAGATTTATGATTAAAATATATACTTCACTGTAAATGTTTTCATAGGCTACGTTTTGATATTTACTGCCAGTATTATAAATCTGTAGTACATAATATAAAATATAGATTTTCAACTAGCAGAATGAATATCAAAAAGCAGCCTTAGCCTTAGCTGTTAATTTTAAATATACATGCTTTTATTTTAGATGGAAGCATACTTCTTGGAGATGCTGCATATCCATGCCTTCTCCAATTAATTACTCCATATCGGGATAATGGACATTTGACACAGGCCCAAAGAAATTTTAATCGTATACACAGTCAATGCAGAATTTCAGTTGAGCATGGATTTGGAATACTGAAACAACGTTTCAGACAGTTATATTTCCTCAAGTTGAGGAATATGCAATTTATCGTCAAATTCATCTTCGCTTGCTGCGTTCTTCACAATTTGGCTGACTTGGATGATTTGAAACACATGGAAGAACCTGAAGTCGACAACCATGCTGATATAAATGCGCAGGTATTGTTACATAATGTCCCAGCAGCAGATAGAAATGAAGATCCGGATGATGATCGACATGGTCGCGATCTCAGAGACGAATTATGTAGACAACTGTTTCAACGATGATTTGAATAAGAGTATCCAAATAAATTTGTTTAAATATTATGTTCTAATATTAATATTTAAATATTATGTTTATTATTTTTTAAATATCAATATCGTGTCGTTGTCAACGTCGACATATCACATACTGCATTGTATCAATCTGTGTCGTTCAATTAAAAATATGTATGATATGTATTTAATGTACAAAACTATCAAAGTGCTTTCAAATATTTATGTTTTTTTAGTTATAAAAATTAGGAAACAATGTACAATTATAGTTTCAAGATTATAACGATTATAACCATAACGATTACACAAATATATTTCATTTATTAATAATTATGAATATTACGATTATATATCTTCTATTCAGCTCATTTTAATTAAAAATTATTAAAGTTTGATATTAAATTTTATAAAATAAATTCTTATGTAATATGTAAGACAACAAATAAAACAATTTTGTTAAAAATTTATCCATACATCAGTCTTTTATTGTCATATACGCCTATTTTTCATACAAATAGAGAAATATAACTGCATAATGCAAATATATATTTTATTATGATTTTTTATCGATAATTAACAAAAAAATGTAAATTGAACAAGAAATGACAGTTTTGATTTTCAATCACGTTTTGTACGCTTGACTGCAAGTAAATAATGCTGCTTTATTATGTAAAAAAAAACTCGATAAGTAAATGCAGCTTTTCCCAATTAAAAAAACTCAATAAATAAATGCAGCTTTTTTCAACTAAAAGAACTCAATAAGTAAATGTAGCTTTCCTCTCTTGCAGAGCTTGATACAGCTTTGTCACGCTGTTTATCAAAATAACAGAAAATAAATAAATAAAAAACTAAAATAAACTTTAATAAAATAAAAGTTATTTCAACTTGAAATAAAAATTTTAAATAAAATTAACAAAATTATATAAATTTTAAATACATATAACTTCATTTACGTGAAATGTTCATAAAGTTTGTAACTTTGGTTATAAAGTAAAAAATGAAGTGATTGAAAATGTGTACATTTATTAGCTTTTTTTTACCTTTGAATCCTGTAGAGTTACACATTTTTCCCAATGATGAAAGATCTAATTATTAGATCTAATTAAGATATAATTATTGTAAAAACCAACACACTTGTCTTTTAACAAAATTAAAATTAAACTTAATAAACTGTTCATAAATTTTATAAATTTGTAATAATATCTTATTAACATTTTTTAAAAGACAATGTGTCTATTTTTATAATTACTATATCTGACAGATCTTGTCAGGAAAAATGTGTAACTTCGCAGAATTTATATGTAGAAAAGATTAATAAATGTGTTTTACTACATTTTCTCCTTTAAGTAGGCAAAGGAACAAACTTTATGAATGTCTTATGTATACATATAATTTAGTAAACCTTCAGTCTTATTATATCTTTATAATCTTCTTCGTCTGATAATTCTTGTGTTGAGTATTTTTTACTTTCTATTCTCTCTAGTATCTTAAGTTGCCTTTGTAAGATACTATTTCGTTCTTTTTGCAATTGTAATTGTTCTATTTGTAATTCATTACATTTTTAAGCTCCGTCAGGTATTTTGTACGTGTTTCTTGTTTGGCATCACTTTCTCTTTGTAGCACAGCACAGATGGATTCCTTAAGTGATTGTAGAGTATGCGCCAATTTGCCATCTCGTACTTTTGCTTTTGTATTTATTAAAGATGAGCAACTGCTATCCGTCATGGACGATTTGCTGCTACCTATTACTGATTGAGATTGACTGTTAACTGCAGATGGTGTCGAAGGTGGCGAGTCTAGTGCAATAGAAGATTGTTCTTCATTTACATTCCTATAATAGAAAACATTTTAAATTATATCTAAAAATATATCTAGAAATGAATTAAAAAACATTTTAAGGAGATGATTACTCACTGAGACAAATGTTGACTGACCACTTTTTGCAAAATGTCTTCTTGAGAAACCATTCCATTGCGGCCAGCTACAAAAGATGGCACTCCACTATGACTTTTTCCAAATAA